CCCTGAAAGCTCATGCTCTGAGCTGCCTGCGTCACCTAAGGACATCATTTTGGGTCACATCTGAAGTCCCACTGAAGCCAAGGCAGTAATGCCCTTCCTTGAGGGTGTGTCAGAATGTTCTGGAGAACTTCTTTAGATGCAGATTCCAGGGCTCTGCTCCCGAAGAATCTCATCCCACAGGTTGGGGGTGGAGCCCCGGAATCTGCATGTTGATGGGAGATGCCGATGCTGGTGGTGCAGACCCCACGCTGGGAGAAATCCTGGCCACCGGAAGGAGGAGGCTGACTCAGCCTCCAGGACTCAGCCAGGCAGGGAGCAGGGCTGTCAACCACTCACTCTGTTCTGAAGTGGGGGGTGGGGGGTGGGGGGTGGGAAAGGCGAGGGTGGACTTGCTTCTTGTCACCTCGTGGAGGCAACGGGAGGGGGCCGGCGGCTCCTTGGGGCCGGACAGCCATGCTCAGAGGGCCTGGGGCCACGGCCTTCAGAAGACCCTGGTCTGGCAAAGCCGCTGAGTCCTCCTGAGGGCTACTTGTGCCTGCGGTTCCGAGATGCCCCGTGACAGCTTGCCTTTGTCTCACCCCTCCCAGGAAGTGACAGTGAGTTTGTGTTGAGCTTCTTTGGGTCCTGGCCCTCCCCTAGAGTGTCCCCTTTGCTCAGAGAGCCAACCCTATCCATGCCACCTGGGCCAGTGAGTTTGTGGGGCCTTGGGAAGCTCTCCAGACCCTGTGATCCCGTAAAGGCTTAAGGAATGTGCCTGGAGTCCCTGGGCAAGCCTCCCTCCCTCTAGGGACTCATTCAGGATGATTCCATTGACCCTCACTCCTTGATGCTTCCTTGGGCCATGAGGATTTGAAATAGTTGGGGTTCCACAACTCCCCCACCGTTATCATTGCTATGCTTCTCTTAAAAACAGAATAAAACAAAAATTTCCAAAGGCAAGCTTCTTAAAACATACTGGCTTTAGCAGTCAGAACAAAGAGGCTCAGCCCTATGTACCAGCCACCTTCCAGAAGGAAGAGGAGGCCAAGGCTGAAGTGACACTGGCATTGTGCTCCTCTAAAGGAAAAGTGCACATGGGCCCCAGCTGACCCCAGAGGTCCCACAGAGGACATTCTGACTGGGTGTGAAGTCCCAACTGTGTCTTGAGCCCTTAATTCAGATTGTTACAAGCCAACAGTGCAGTAACATCAACGTGAGGGAAAGGTTACAGAGATGGATACGACCAATCCTTTAAAGGTGGAATGTGAGTCCTTTTCTACATTTAATAAAAACATCTTCTCATTTGAGGCTCTGGAAGTCTTGAGTCACATTTTTTTGTTTTTGTAAATCCCCACCCCCACCCCGCCCACTTCTAAAATGTCTGAAAACACATGGCTTAACAGTGGCTGCACAGAAAATATACACCCTCGAAGTCTGACTTTCATTTAAATACAAATATACAAAATGTAAACTGAGACAATAGAGAAATTTACAAAACTTTTCTTTAAAAATAATAAAGACAAAATTCAGTTCTAGGTATGACGCTATTAAAATACGTGCAAGTTGTCGTATCCAATTGGATTTCTATTGCAATGTTCCACCTCCGCTTGAGGGCCACCTCTGGAGACAGACCTGAGTGGAAATCTCTTTGAGAAACCTGGAGGCTCTGCATCGAGCGGGGGAGCAGCCTCTGTCCCCGGCTCCTGGAGGGTTCCCCTGTCCACAAGTTCTGCTTCTAAGGACAAGGGTCTGGGCTGGTCCCACCGTGGACTTCAAGGCCAGAGCGCTAACTAGCTGCTTCCTGTGGAATTTGAACTGACGTGGTTTGAATTTATGTGGTGGTTGAAACTGGTCTTGGGACTGGGTGAACTCTTGGAATTGTTTTGATGCTGGAGGGGTGAGAGAGAGAGAGAGAGAGAGAGTCAGTCCTGGTGGGCAGGGAAGGGACTCTGAATCTGAAAACCAGGCCACGGTCAGGGGCTGCTGACCAGCTCCTCCTGTTTTCTGCCACCTCGTGCAGACCCAGGGCCACAGGCCGCCCCGACGCAGGGGGAGAGGTAGGAATTAAGAAAATCCCAGGCAGGAAGGGAGGAGGCGGCCCCTCCTGAACATCTACGCTAGTACTTAGGCTAAGTACCCTAGGCCCAGGGCTAAACCGCCATGGGTTTGAGTCTGACACCTGCCACTTAGCCGAGTGACCTGGAGCGAGTTGTTAAAGGTCTTAGTTGCCCCTCCACAGTGTGGGGTAAGAGCTGCTCTGCGCAGGGCTGGTGGAGAAGGAAATCAGGCTGCGTGCAGGGAGGGCCTGGCCTGAGCACCACAGGCTGCTTGTTCTTGGTGCTCTGGGTACCCTCTTGGCTTCCCCGTGGGTGCGGGTCCCTCACACCTGCAGGGAGGAGGAGAGCGACCCAGGGCATCTGCTCCCTTGGTGGTAGTGCTGGGTGCTGTGCAGAGGGCCACCGACCTCTACCTCCACCTTCCCTGCTCTGGGAAGGGCACACAGAGGCTGGGATGGGGGCCAGTGCGCCGTCACCCAAGTAGCAGGAAGTGTCAGGGCCAGATCTGAACCCTGGGTCCGGGAGCCTCCACAGCAAATGCCGGTCCCAGGACCTGGAAACTCAGCCCTGTGGGAGGGGACAGGTCCTTTCTTTCGGGAATATTCACTTTTCTTGGTGGAAGCATTTAAAAATTATATTTTTATAGTATATGAACATGAGTATGTTTTGGAATAGGATGTGAAACTCACGTGAAGCTTTTAGATAAAACCCCAAACTTGGCACCAGTCTGCATTTTCTCTCCATAGGCCTGATCTGTGCTCCCTGACATTAACCCCAGATCCTTTGCACGGGCTCACTGGCCTTGTGACCATGGGCAAGTTCCTGGACCCCTCAGCCTCAGTTTCCCTATCTGTGAATTGGGTTAATGGTGGCACATGCTGGGCTCACATGGCACCAGCATGTCCAAAAGGAAGGATCCCAGTTTGGCTTGCTGATGCATCCCAAACCCTGAGAAAACAGCCTCGCACACAGTAGGCATTCACTATATATTGGCTGAATGAATAAATGAATGGTTGACAGAGGCTCAGGCTTTCGTGGAGCTTAATTAGGAGAAGCCCTCAAAAAGCACCCAGGGCAGAGCTGGGTCCACAGCAGAATGCCAGAAACAGCCGCCCACCCCCATCAGGGTGGGGGTGGGGAAGCCAGGATGCCTGGGGCCTGGGGCCCAGCGTTCTCAGCCTCTCCTTCTTCATCCTCCTGGGAGAGGCGCAGCTCCCTTCGGGTGGGGGTGGGGTGGGGAGGAGTGTAAGTTACAGGAGGCTCCCCGGCTGTGGGATGGGCACGTGGGGGGCCACGCCTTCTTCAGGGGCCAGGCCAGGAGGAGGTGCTATTCTGGCCACCTTGGTGGACGAGGGATGAGGCGGGGGCCTCAGTGGCCTCTCATTCACAGGCCTGAGCAGGGACACGTCTTCCCCAGCCCTTAAGTCCAGGGACAGGCTCTGAGGAAAAACGTGTCTTCCCAAGGGGTGAGTGTCCTCTGGCCGCCGCCGCCATGGATGGGGGCCCCACCCATGAGGCCCTGCGGGGGCCACCTCTCCCCACCTGTTGTCCTCGTTCTCTGTCATGTTCAGCCGTCACCAAAGAACCGGAGTCCTTACAATGGCCACATGCAGCAGCTGGTTCTGTCTGGGAGGTTTTGCCCCCAGAGACACCGGGCGAGGTGTGGAGACAGTTGTGACTGGCACAGCGTGAGTGGGGAGACGCCAGGAGGCTGCTGGGTACCCCCCCCACCGCACACGACAGCCCCCCCACCGCACACGACAGCCTCCCACCCCCACCGCACATGACAGCCCCCCCACCGCACACGACAGCCCCCCACCCCCACCGCACACGACAGCCCCCCACCGCACATGACAGCCCCCCACTGCACACGACAGACCCCCCCACCGCACATGACAGCCCCCCCACCGCACACGACAGCCCCCCACCCCCCACCACTTCCGACAGTTCCTCCACCCCCTCACTGCACATGACAGCCCCCCCACCCCACCCCTCCGCACACGACAGACCCCATGGCAGAGAATTCACGCAGAACGTCAACAGTGCCGAGGCCGAGAAACCCTGACAGAGGGTGAGCTCTGGGCTGGCCCTGCCCCTTCCACCCTGCAGACCCCTCAGCCAGGAGACGTCAAGGGGCTCGGACAGGCAGCTGGGCCCCCACGTCCCCCACGCCCCCCATGCAGGGAGGAAGCCACAGCTCCAGGCTAAGGGAAGCACCTGGGCCCTGGAGGTGTCTCACCTGACGCTTGAAGATTCTCTGGAGCAGCCCTTTCTTTGGCGGTTCCGGAGGGTGACTCCTGTTCAGGTCCGGTGAGAGGGTACCGTTAGGTCCAAACACGTTCAGCTCCTTAAAGCACTCGGTTTCTATCATCTGGGGAAGTGGTGTAAACCACAGGTGGCGTGAGGGGCTGTGTTCGTCATCTTCAGTGCACAGAGGCCCAGAGGCAGGCCAACATCCCGGCCGGAGTGGGCTTCCAGAAGGTCCTCTGGCTACTCTGCGTCCTTCAGGGGCCTGGGCCCAGGCCGTTCCTCGCCTGCCACTGCCTCTCCCCTGCCGGCTGGCTGCAGGGGTGTGCTCACCGTCCGGCTACCAAACCCACACCCCAATCTCCCCCTTCACCCCACTGAAGCCCAGGTCGCCTGCTTGCTCCAGGCCCTTCCCTCCGCCAGCACCCCCTCCCCTGCCCCATCATCTCCAACCCCCTGGAAGGAGCACTGACCCCAACCTGTGCATCCAGCCACGGCCCCGGTTTCCTCCTCTCCTCCGGCCTGACTTCCTGAGACAGCGGCTAGACGGCCGCGTCCATCTCGCCTCCTATTCCTCTTCTGGCCCCACGCCAGCAGTGCCCTCATCCAGGCCTGGGGCCCCCGCCCCACGGCCCCCTTCAGGGTGCACGCGGACACCGCCCTGCTCACCTCACTCTGCCACGGGATGGGCACGGAGCCCGTGGAGAACTTGGAGTAGAAATCGTCATCCGTGTGGTCCAGGTTGACGCCTTTCACGGTGGAGAACTGCTCGATGTCCAGCACATCCTTGCAGTACACGGCGCGGGGCTGCGGGCAGAGCACTTGGTGGCACGGGGTCACCCCCGGGGCCCGGCGCCCCCCGCCTGGGGTCCTGACGGGGAGCAGGGGGCCCCTTTCCAGGGACCGGTGCCGCGCTCTCCCAGGTCTGCCAGGGGCTCCTTCCCGCTGTCAGCCTCATGCCCGCTGCTGGCCTCCCCACCCTCCAGGCTGGGGACACCGAACATGCCCTCTCTGACCTCACGCTCCTCGGCACCTCTGCGGATCCCCCGCCCCCTCAGCAGATTTTGTTTCCCCAAAGCCCACAGGCTCAGGACGGTGGAAGCGTTTCCGGGCTTCTCTGTCCAAATGAGGGCTGCCCCAGCTGGGGCCTGCGGCCCATCCCCCACACAGAAAGCAGATGCCAAGGACCCAGGGCCAGAGAGACGTGTGGCCCTTCTCTCACTAGCGGGCACCCAGGCTCTGCAGCCGGACAGGCCTGGGCTTAGGAACTCTGTCACATACCCCCTGTTGGCCTCAGTCTTCTCACCTGAGAAGTGGGGACAGTTAGAAAAACCTCCGCCGTGGGGCTGATGTAGGAGTCCACCACGGAGCCGGCACCGGAGCCGTGAGCTGCGGCTGTCAGAGCACTGACCTCCACTCCTCTCACTTGCCCACCGACCCTGCCGTCTAGGAGTTCAAGGTGGGTGGCTGTGGCCTCCCAGGGCCCAGCGTGGACATTCACCAAGCTGAAGTCGTGAGTCTGTGCACAGGCACAGCTGGGCTACTCACATCCGGAATGAAGGGAGGGTCCAACATCCCGGCTTCTAAGCGCTTGAAATTCATGTTCCTGAAGAAGGGGTGTCTCTTGACCTCGGCAGCCCCCTCCTCCTGGCAGCCCAGTCTCTGCTTTGCATCTTTGGTGAGCAGCTGCGACGAGAGAGAGAGATGTCATGCCCGGGGCAGGCCTTTCCTCCTGCTGAAGGCCACAGGGGCTTGGGGCTTCGGGCCCCTGTGGTCATCTCCCCTCACAGGTGCGCCCCCGAGCCTCCCACACGTCCCTCCTCCAGCCTCTGCGGGGCCCCAGCCGCCCCCAGATTCCCAGTGGACACTGCCTTGGCCGGCTCGGGCCCCGCGGCGGCTCGGATGCCTGGAGCCTGCGGGAGCGCGGGGGTCTGGGGCATGTGTCGCTGCTTCTGCTACAGGTAAGCTCCCAAGGGCCGGGGCCGTCTCTGCAGGTCTCACTCACTCGCCTCAGCTCCCAAGTACCCTGCTGACGTGTCCTGGGTTGGCACAAACGTCTGTGCGGAGAGCGGGGAGGGGCACGGAGTATCTGGCCTCAGCAAGACCATGTTCAGGGGACCCACGGAGGCAATACAGGTACGACACCACGAGCACGACCTGGCTGCCAGGTCGTCGGGGGACGGGGGAAGCTTCCCAGGGAAAGGGCATCTGCAACAGGCTTAGCAGGAGAAGGGAGGTGGCGACGGCATCGACTAGCAGAGGCGGGCGGGAGAGGCCTGCAGGGCAGCCGTGGGGAGCACCTGTCTCTGAGTCGGGGTGAAGAATGAAGGTTCGGGGGGTGGGTCAGGGTGAAGGGGACTTGCTGGGGATGGTGCTGGTCAGGGAAGAGGAGTGTCCTCCTCAGAGCCAAGAGGTGGGGAGGTCATAGGGGAGGGAGAGGCTGCAGGAGCAGCCAGCCAGGCCACACAGGTAAAGAAGAGCACTGGGCATCTGTCTGCTCGGAGACTAGAATCAGGGTGGACGGCCCGCACCCCAGGTCATCCTCTCTCCAATTCGCCGGCCCCCTGTGGATGCTTTCCTCCCATACACATTTGTGGCTGGCCACGGGGGCTGGGGCTGCCGTGGTGGGCCAGCGGGCAGCTGCGCCTCCTGAGGGCCATGGCCCAGTCCCTCCACGTTTCCCTTCAAACAGAGGAATCAAAGATGGCGCCTGGGTACCACCAGGTCACACTCTAGAAACGACTAAGCTGTGAGAATCACTGTGTCAACCTCTGGTCCACCGATCACCCAGGCATGTTCTGCCCAGTGAGCTGGTGCCTCGGGACTCTGGCTTCTCTTCTCCAGAGGCTTTGCAGTTCCACAGTCTCCAGGAATCGGGCCCTACAAGGCCAGGGCACCTCCCTGTGCTGAGAAATCCCAAGGAGGGAAGGCTCCCTGTGCAGAGGCTGGCCCTCCCCGCTGCAGACCCCAGAGCCTGCAGGGCCAGCCAGCCAGAAACACAAGCAAGGACAATAAAGGTGACGTGGGGGGCCGCCTGGGTGGCTCAGTCGGTTAAGCGTCCGACTTTGGCTCAGATCATGATCTCACAGTTTGTGAGTTCAAGCCCCATGTTGGGCTCTGTGCTGACCGCTCAGAGCTGGGAGCTTGCTTCGGATTCTGTGTCTCTTTCTCTCTTTGGCCCTCCCCTGCTTGTGCTCTCTCAAAAATAAATAAATGTAAAAAAAAAAAAAAAAAAAAAAAGGCGAGGTGGGCTGGTCGGGCTGTGCCAAGCTGCCCATCAGTTCCTGCCAGGAGGGTTGGCTAGTGCCCAGGGCCGAAGGTCCAGGTTTTTATGTGAAATCTCTCCAACTTTAAATCTTGGTAATTAACCCACCATTCACCTCTTTCTAAAACACTGTGCCAATTGAAGACACATCTATATGCTACCTGATTGCAGCCCTGCTATCAGGTGTACACCATCAGTTAGAGGGAGAGGTGGTGTGAGCTGAGCAAGTGGGGCAGGCACAGCGGGCTTCCTGGAGGAGGAAAAGAGATGGGCTGGAAGGCTGGTAAGGCTGAGGTGGCTGAAGGGCCAGAAGGTGGGTCCTGAGGGGGTGGGTAGGGCCAGTTCTGGGACTCAGCAGGGACCCACAGAAGGTGGGGCTGAGGTCTAGGCCTAGGGACTGGACCAGGGGACGGGCAGTGACATGTATGCATTTTTGGACCCCAGGGGCAGTGGAAAGAGTCTGTGGCAGCAAGGTGACATCAGGGAAAGAACAGGTGGCCAGGGACCAGCTCCCCTGCAGTCTGTGGCGTGGCCTTAGGCAGGGCTGGAGCTGCCAGTCTAGAAACAGCCCGATGTGCCCCAAGTTCCATGGTTTCCTCAGAGGCAGGCCCTGCTGTATCCTGGGCTGGCTCCTCTTGGAGGTGACAGGGCAAGCCTGCCTGCTAGACCGGACAGGCTGTCAAGAGGGGTGGCCAGGAAGCCCAAGGCCAGGATCCCTTGACCCCATGGTCACTTTTAAGAAGATGAAGCAAGACCAGAGGCCTTTGTCGGTTCTCCCAGTGGAGAAAGATGAGGGGACACTGGCTCGACACTTGATACCCAGGGGCCAAGGTCCATCCAGAGCCCCAGGCTCAGCCGCCGCCTTTCCCTCAGTGGCCACCAGGGGGCAGCAGAGGGCCAGCAGTGCCCCTAGTCCTGGTGCCCCCAAGGCCAGGCACCCTAGAAGACGACAGTGGGCAGGGGCCTCTGCCTCTCAGTCCTCTCAGCATGTCCTGTGTCCTGCTGGGGTTGCTCTGCTTCTCCGAGTCCCTGACCCTGACCTGGAACGTTTGGGGATGCTCTGACCGTGGCTGATGACCTCCCTCCTCTGTCCCTTGCCCCGTTTGGTCCCACTGGATAGACACCTGGCCTCCATAGCCAAATATTGGTGGGCCCCCTACCCCAGTTTTCAAATGTCCTCAGGGTCCCACATTTCCACCTACCTGGCTTGTGTCCCCCACCCCAATCCTGGCTGTTGTGACTGCTTGGGCTTCTGGGAGGCCCAGGCACGTAGGCAAGTGCCCGGCTACAGGCTGTGCGGGTGGGTGTGTGTCTGCCTGTGGACACCCCACCCCTCCCCCTGCACGTCGCCCACACATCAATGGCAGACCCATGGTTCCTCTTTTCTGGAAGTGGTCAAATGGCAGATCTTGCGCCAAATCCTTCTTCCCACGGCTCTGTGACATCAGACGGAAGCCGGTAAGAGAGGTGGCCAAGTAGCGAGTGGACGTCTCCAGAGGGGGCCTCCTCAGGGCGGGGAGCTACGCCCCGGGTTCCCGGACCACTAACAGTGCAGCCTTGGCTTTCCTGGAAGCAGAAGCTGCTCTACTTTCATCAGCACGTCGGGCCTGCTGTTCTACACACTCCAGCCTCGTGGTTTGTGCACGTGGGGCAGAGGGGTGGCACAAGGGCAGCCTCACCCCTGCTTGTCTGCTGTCCCAGGTGCAGTAGTGCTCCAGGGAGAGGAAGTCTGTGGGCCCATGGGTACCTGTCCCATGTGGCCGGCCCTGGAGGGCAGCTGCCTGGGGAAGGGGTGCAGCACAGCTGTGTCTGCATCAGAGGGAGAGGCCCCAAGGGGACGCAGGCAGGACTTGGGAGCAGGAGAGCCAGGTGGGATGGGTGTGGCCATTCCCCCCACAAAGCCTCCAGCCAGGGGTGGGCCCATGTGGGCTGGGGGGAGGGGCAGCGGCCAGGGGTGGACTCTCTCCCAGGTTCACTTAAAAAAAATATTTTTTTGGGGGCGCCTGGGTGGCTCAGTTGGTTAAGCGTCCGACTTCGGCTCAGGTCATGATCTCACAGTTCGTGGGTTCGAGCCCTGCATCGGGCTCTGTGCTGACAGCTCAGAGCCTGGAGCCTGCTTCGGATTCTCTGTCTCCCTCTCTCTGATCCTCCCCTGCTCACGCTGTCTCTCTCTGACTATAAAAAAAATATTTATATATATATTTTTTAATGTTTGTTTTTGAGAGAGGTGGGTGGAGGGGCGGAGAGAGGGAGACATAGATTCTGAAGCAGGGTGCAGGCTCTGAGCCATCAGCACAGAGCCAACACGGGGCTTGAACCCACGGACCGCAAGATCATGACCTGAGCCGAAGTGGGATGCTTAACTGACTGGCCCACCCAGGAGCCCCCTCCCCCTCCCCCAGCCCAGCTCCATTTCTGACTGCTGTCACTACTTCCTCTAGCAGGCTTCCCAGCCCCACAGTCTGGCCCTGTCCACCCGGCTTGTCTACACGGCGTTCCCCCTCTGCACCCTCCCCGTGGACGATGAAGTCCCACGGTCCATAGATGGCGTCGTGCAGGACCCAGGCTAGCGTGGCCCGCGTTCCACGGAGTGGAAGGAGCACTGCTGTAAGACATTCAGAGACGGAAGATGCCACCGCCCCAGCGCCTGCACGGCACCTGCTAGCCGCAGCCAGCGCCTGGGGACCCAGGCTGCGGGGCGCCCAGCTCGAGGGCACGAGGCCCCTTTGTGTTTGGGGAACCAGCCGGGATCCTCTCCTTTCCCCCGGATGCTGATTTGCCCTCACGAAGCCGGATGTGAGTGTGTCCCACAGTTCGCCCCAGCCCCTTCCCTGTCACGGGGCCTCCCTGCCCGCACCCCAGGCCCGCTCCGGGCAGCCGTGGCCGACCCGCCCAGCCCACGACCAGGACCGCTCGCTCCTCTGGCTCGGTGCCGTCACTGCTCCCACCTCAGTGTGCCCGACCCCGACCCGTCGGCCTGTTGGCGCGGGAGGGGAGACACCGCTGGACACCCCGCCTGCGGACAGCGTCTCGCTCTCCAGGGGCTCACCATTTTGCAGATGGACTTGGCCTCCTCAGAGAACTTCGGGGAGTACGCCTCCTCCGTCTCCAGGACCCGGCGGTCTACTTCCTCCCGCTTCACCTTCTCTTTGCGGCCCCGGAATGGCGACTGGCCCTCGATCATCTCATAGATGAGGCAGCCCAGACCCCAGTAGTCAGGGCTCAGGCCGTATCTCTGGTTGTTCAGGACCTCCGGAGCTGGGGGTGGAGGGGGGGGGCGAGGGAGGTAAGAGACAGCTGGTGGCAGGGCAGAGTCAGGGCACACGGGGCCAGGGTTGGGACTCATACCATCTGGGCCTCAGGGCGTCCTGCACCCATGAGTGAAGGTGTTGCTCACAGAAGGCCTGAAGCTTCATGGCAAGGACACGCTTCCCCCTGTGGACTCCTACTCACCAACTGCCATAAATACCGCCTCCTCCAGGGAGCCTGCCCTGACTGCTCTCCTCTGTGCTCCTGGCTTCAGAAGCCTGATCACAGTGGATGGAAAGAGCCTGTTCCCTTGATGTCTCCCCTGCTAGAATCTGCACTACCTTATTCACTGCTGTGTCTCGGTAACAGGTATGACACCTGGCACATGGCAGGTGCTGCACATATTTATTTCCAGGAACGAAGGTGTATCCACCCAAAGGAATGATGATTTTAAGTTTACCTGGAATTCAAACAATCTCTCACTATGGCTTCCCTACTACTTTGACAAAATGAATTCTAGACTAATCATAGAAGTGCAAAAAAGGTAAGTTTCATGTCATCAGGCAGGTGACAAAAATCCAGGGGCAAACACATCCACACACATGCCACTGTGCATATAACAGAGGCCCTGAAGACAGGTGCAGGTGGGATTCTGTGCAAGACAGGCACACAGGTACACGAAGGTGTGTGGATCCATCCCTCCATCCATCCATCCATTCCCCCCCTTCCGTCCATCCCTCCCTCCATCCATCCCTCTCTCCATCCATCCATCCATCCCTCCCTCCCTCCCTCCACTATCCATCCATTCATCTACCCCTACCTCCATCCATCCATCCATCCATCCATCCATCCCTCCATCCTTCCTTTCCTCCCTCCCTCCCTCCATCCATCTGCATTCGCATGGGTATACACAGCCACGTATGCATAGATATACACAGGTTCCCTAATGATATGCAACCTGAAAAGGACCTTCTAGAGGCAGAGACAACACACAGAATCTTGCACAAGTGTGGCTGGCATGAGTCTGGCAGAGGACAGCAGCATCCCCAGCTCCCAGGGCTTTCTGGAGCCCCCTATCCCCTGGGACAAGTGGGCACGTGTGTGAGGTGTGTGCAGGAGGAAGCCCAGGGGGTGCCCATCACCGGAGGGGGGACTCCAGAGGACCAGATGCAGCTCCGGTCTCTTCCCTGCAGCCCCCAGGACGGTGGTCCTGGAATAGGCTCGCTGTTGGGGCCTGGGTGGCAGGGAATGGAGGCTAAGGCTGGTCTCTGCTTGTCATGCCTGGTGACACAGCAGGTGGTGCACCCCTCTCCTTTCTGGGCCTTTCCCAGTGACCTCTCTCCTCTCAGGGGCTCCCTGAAAGGTTGCCTGCCAATCACCAGACCCCTCCCTGGGTTCGGCCTCCCCCGAGCACCACTGTGTGCCCGCGCTGACGGCTGACCCTGAGAGTGGCTTGGCTTTGGGGTGCAGGTGGGGCTGCGGTGGGGGGCTCAGAGTGCCCAGATGAACCCTGGGCCTCAGCGCTCCACCCATCCCGGCTGAGACCTCCCACTACCAGCTGTGGCTTCACTGCTGATCAGAGCCGCACAGAGGCTGGAGGCCCAAGAGGCAGACCCGCGGAGGGGCCGGGCCCACACTCACCCATGTAGCCCACAGTGCCCACCCGGCCGCGGATCAGGTCTCCGTCGGGGATCTTCACGGCCAGACCCAGGTCCGAGATCCGAATGTGGCCTGAAGGGGGGAGAGCAGAGTCAGTGGGTCTCTGGGACGGTCGTGTGGACACGTAGCCCACCTGGGTGGGGCCACAGACTTACCCTGTGCCCCCGGTTAAGGTACAGACTCTTGGCCCCAAGAGGGGCATCCCAATCAGCCACCTCAGGGTGACTGCAGACCCTTGGGGGCATCCAGGTGTCCGAGGACATGGGTAAATCATTGCTTCTCAGGAGGAAAACGTAAAGACGGGAAAGGATGTCTGGATTCGGCTGGACAGTGGCCAACCTGCCCCATAAAATACCCTCATAGGCTTCTCGGGAGGCTGAGATCACCAATTTTAAAAGGCCTTGGCCTGACTCTGTGATTGCTTCATGGGAAAAATGTGAGATTTTCCTGAACTTGTACAGTTTGCTTAAGGGGAGAAATTATAAAGCAATTCAGGAAGCAACTCCCTGTCCTGCCCTGTCGCTCTTTGGAAATTCTTTGCATTCTGCCTTCGGAGAAAGAGAGTAAAGTCATCCAGGCCCTGGAGAGACAGAGATGGACTGGAGTCCAGGACACCCCCAGCCCCCAAAGGCCAAGATGACACAGCACTGAGAGTTCTATCTTGCTGTTGTCCTGCTTGGCGGCCCACTGAGGCAGGGTCATGGCCACACCTGGCCCCCCTTCCTTGTCCATGTGTGCCAGGGCCCCACAGCCCAGACCCCAGTGAGGTCCAGTGTCAGGGACACCCCTCCCCCCACCCCCAGGCCAGAGCGGTGTGGACTCTCTGATTCAGCAGCCCTGGCAAAGGCGGGGAGGGCAGACGACAGCATACAGGTTCCAGCCGTCAGGCTGCAGATCGGTGGCGGTCCCAAGAACAGCAGTGGGCCCTGGGCTCATCCAAGACGGGTGGCAGGCCCTGGGCCCTGTGCCCACTTCCCCACTCAGGCCTCTCTCCAGGTCACCAACGACCTGCCTCCCCTTCTACCTCCCCTCTGCTGGGGGCTGCCTGGCATCTGGGGCCTGCCGGTCTCAGCTCCCAGTGATATTGCTCGGTGACCTTGGCAGGTTGTCTCCTCTGAGCCTCAACCTTGTCATCTGTAAAATGGGCACAGGGATGCTGAGTCTGCCCCCTCTGCAGAAATGGGAACATCTGGTCTGATAACAGATGTGAACACCAGTCCCCAGGTGTGAGAGGCTAAACACGTTACCCATGTGTGTGCACACGTGTGCACATGCACGTGCGCACACACACGGGAAAACAATGGTAACCCACAGATAATACCTAACACATTTCAAGCTGGCTCTAGCTGGTGAAGCAATTGCCCTTTAAGCTATCTTCTTGGAGCTTCACCAAACCTCACCCCGCCACTGCTCTCTGAAGTGGGCAGAGCAGGGGCCATGTTTCCATTTCATCAGCAAAGAGACGGGGTTCCAGGATGTTGCATAAAAGCGAAGTACTTGCCCAGGATCTCTGAAATTCTGGACTCCTCAGTCAGTGCTCTCTGTCTCTCTGTTTCTCTTTTGGCCAAGTCACGCTGCTTCTTCACCAGATAGGAGCTTTATCCATGCCCCCTGCCTGCCCCAGGGCCCCAGGATTGGAGAGAGGGAGTGGGTGCTCCGCTTTTGGCCACTGCTCTCCCACAGTCCCAGGGCCGTGCCTCTGAGAGCCTCTGCAGGAAGGGCCCCCCGTTCCCCTTGGATTATGACGGTCTCCTTGGCTGCAGGGCAGGAAAGGGGTCTCCCAAGTGGCTCCCCAACTTACCATAATCATCTAGTAGGATATTTTCGGGTTTCAGGTCTCTGAAAGAGAAAGAACACAAGCACGTGAGTGTGGGCACTCTCAGCATCAGGCCATGGCGGCTGGGTTGACCTCTTGTGTGTTTCCTTCCCATCTCTTGGCTCAGGCTGTCTGGTCTCTCTCTGGATCCAGACAATCTTGGACTAATTTCCTTCCTCCCGGTATTTAAAACAAATGCCGCCGTTGCCATAGGCATCTTCTCGACCTGGAGATGACTGGGAAGGGGTCAGGCAAGGGCCAGGCCTGGCTCCTATCCACACACTGACCACACCAGGGGCTGAGGATACTTCTGGCTGGTGTGGTGACAGCCCCCTCCAGGGCTGGGAATACCCGGAGATCTCAGGATGCACTGGGATGCCCTGAAGGCAGAGAGAGGCCTGGGAATTAGGGAGGAGAAGTTATTGAGAACACAGCACCAGCTGTAGAACTGGGGTGGAGAACTATAGAAGGCAGACCCCCTTTGGGAAGGAGACCCCTGGAGCCTGGCACGTCTCTCACCTCCGGCAAAGTCATAAGCCCAAGAAAGCACAGCTGTAGGTGTGCCCGGCTCCATGTGTCCCTCCTCTCTTCTCTCTGATGACACAATCACTGTCACTGTTCGTAAGAACAAGGCTCCCGCCCCCCACACTGGGGGAGGGACCCAGCAGCAGTGTCTGGTTTTACTACTAAGGAGGTCCTCTCCGCGGGTAAAGGAACAGCCTATAGGATAGCATGTGTGACTCAGTTAAGTCATGAGCATCTGGATTGAGGATCAGACGCTCAACCGACAGGCTTTGTTTATTTAACTGCTGGCAGCTGTCCTCAAGGGGAATGGTTAAATCCAGTTCAAATGTTCAAATCCAGTGGGGTAGCCTCACAAGGTGATAATGGGTTTGTGTGGGGTTATTTATAAGAAATAAACACAAATACTTTGTGGCTCTTATTTAATTTGCCTTCTTTTGATGTGTTAACTGTTCCGAATAAGGGCAAGAGCCACCCTCTCAACAAGCCAGCGGCCACAGGGTTGGAAAGAGAGCTGGCGGGCAAGGGAGGGCCAGAGCCCAAACCCAGGGAGAGGCCACGGCAAGTGGTCCAAGCGTGGAAGTCAGGGAGGCGCTGTGGTTCTCTTCCTCCAAAGAATAAGGGCTAGAGCTTGGAAGGCGGCCTTTCTTTTTGTTTTAAGTGAAAAGCAATCAAATAAGGAGTTCTTTTATTCAACCCATAGGGAATTTTTTCTCTTTTCACTTGAATGAAGACAAAACAAAAGCCTAAATGGGGAGAATGTTGACGGGGGGGGGGGGGGGGGGGGGGGGGGGGGGGGGGGGGGGGGGGGGGGGGGGGCGGTGGAGCAAGTGAGCAAGTCACCAAGTCCATTTCTTCTTGTTTCTAAAACCTTCTTGGACTTCCAAGATCATTCCTGCCAAGACCTCTGTGGTAAAGGTCTTCAAACTGGGGTGTGCGTGCCCACTGGGTCTGCAGGCACAGTTCAGGGGGTTCTCCGTGGGGTGATGGTTTGAAGAACATGCGTTTTTAGATCCTTAACGAGAATGCCCTGCCCTGGCATTCTCTGGGAACTCCCCACCCTTTCTCAATGGGCCGATTCCAACAAACAGGAGAAGGGCAGGCCCCTTCTTGCTCTGATTACTGTGGTGTCCTGCTCCAGGACCCTAATCAGAAATGGGTTCTACTAGGGGCCTGGGGTGGCTCAATCAGTTATGCGTCCGACTTCAGCCCAGGTCATGATCTCAGTCTATGAGTCCGAGCCCCACATCAGGCTCTGGCTCAGAGCCTGGGGCCTGCTTCGGATTCTGTGTCTTCCTCTCTCTCTGCTCCTCCCTACTCAAAAATAAACACACATCGGGGCACCTGGGTGGCTCAGTTGGCTAAGCGTCCAACTTCAGCTCAGGTCATGATCTCATGGTTTGTGAGTTCGAGCCCCGTGTCAGGCTCTGTGCTGACAGCACAGAGCCTGGAGCGTGCTTCAGATTCTGTGTGTGTGTCTCTCTCTCCCCTCCTCCCTTGCTTGCACTCTATCTCTCTCTCTTTCAAAAATACATAAACATTTTATGGAAATGGATCCTACTAAAATCGTTACAATGGCAACTTAACACAAGTTATTTTAACATTGAGAAACTACGGCCAAAGGAGATTTTTAAAAAATCTTATAAATGTCCATCTATTTAAAATCTGCTTGCTGCTTGATGATAGACTTGATGATAGACTTCTAGGCCAAAAAAGAGATGACATTATAATAACATCTTGTGGGGAAGAGAGTGATAGAAAATCCCGCACCTCTACAGAGTTTTCATGCATTTTTATTATGTATTAATGTTTATTTATTTTTGAGAGAGGTGGGCAGAGAGAGAAGGAGACACAGAATTCCAGGCAGGCTCCAGGCTCCGAGCTGTCAGCACAGAGCCCGATGCGGGGCTCGAACCCACGAACTGTGAGATCATGACCTGAGCCGAAGTTGGATGCTTAATCGCTGAGCCACCCAAGTGTCCCCCTTCATGCATCTTTACTTTAAAAAACTTTTTTTAAAGTTTATTTATTTATTTTGAGAGAGGGTGCATATGCAGAGAGAGAGGGGCAGAGAGAGAGAGGGTGAGAGAGAATCCCAAGCAGGCTCCTTGCTGTCAGCATGGAGCCTGATGCAGGGCTCGAACTCACAGATTGTGAGATCATGACCTGAGCTGAAACCAGGTTGGACACTGAACTGACTGAGCCACTCAGGCACTCCTTCGTGCAGTTTTGGCGGAAATCAGTTTGCTACAGCAATTAGATTCCACTGGATACCTTTAAAAATGCGATGTTAACGGCTGAGTTTCAAAATGTTAGCCACTATTTTAACATATGATAGGTGTTAATTCCTTAATATATGAAGGCACCCAGATTTTCACATTTCCTTGAGAGGGTTAGTGAGAAAAGTTTGAAAGCCACTGCTTATGGAATCCATAAAGTCGAATGACATGGGATGGACCAAGGTCCATGCAGCTGTGGTGATGATCCTACTTGGGTCTTTCTGGGATGGGCTCCCCGAGTTTCTGGCAGGCTGGGCTGGAAGGGACTGGTGGCCTTGGCCCATCCTCATCAACTGTGAAGGACTATCACCTCGTACACTTGGCCCCCCCAAGCGGCCCGCCTCACTTACGTGGTCCAGGGCGTGGGTCTCTCTGTCGACGACCAGGCCCCGAGTTCCAGGGCGGAAGGTCCCTGCCCGGCACAGGGTGTGGAAGGCCAGCACCCCCCCACCCCCTCAGACTCCAGTGACAGGGCCAGGCAGTGGGCTCGCTCACCTGTACACGGTGTTCTCCCGGTGCAGGTCTTCCAAGCCACAGAGGATCTCGGCCGCATAAAACAGGGCTCGCTCCTCCTCAAAGCCAGGGTTACCCATGTTGTAGATGTGGAACTTGAGGTCACCCCCGTTCATGATGGTCAGAACCAAGCACAGCGCATCCTTCGTCTCGTAGGCGTAGGCCAGGTTGACCTGGGAGCACAAGACAGCACCACGGTGAGGTTCCGGTGACTGCCATCCACTTCCACTCTTCCTCCCCAGGCTCCTCCTCACGGCACCGCTGCTCACTGCCCCTCTCGGCCAACGGCACTCGGCCCCTTCAGGAAGCCTGATGGATGGCGCCGGTGCATTTACACAGACAAAAGCACGTGCCTGCTTCGTCTGGTTAAAGCCGCAGGTGGCCTTGCTGGCCATTCAAGAAGACGGGGCCCAGATGCCTTTTGGGCTGGGGTCTCAGTGTCGCGGGGACACTGGGGGTGGCTGGGGAGGTGGCCAGTGGGACTTTGTAAAGTGGAACGCAGTGTGGCCAAGACTGTCTCCTCTCGCACGCAGGACATGTCTGGTCAAAGGGACCGTCAACAGGCAGGACCCAGTTCCTTGCTGGTGGAGGCCAGCTGCCCGAGGCTGGACGGAGGCCACAAGGCTGTGGGAAAGGCGGCCGGGCTGGGTCCGAGGCAAAGCTCACGGGGTGCTCCTCGTCCCTCTCCGCTTAGAGAGCCAATAGGGATGAGATGTGGCCACACGGACCAGGCTGGGGACAGGCGGGGCTGTAAAACTTGGATGCAAAGGTCAGGAACAATGGCAGTTACCTCTAAGGGAAGCAAACAGAATGGGAGCCGAGCGGGAGGGCTCCGGGGACTGTGCTGGGTGCCGGGGACTGTGCTGGGTGCCAGCGGCTGAGCTGGCCCTGCCTCCCGCACCTGCCTGCCATCACCAAGGAGGGGCTCCTGGAGGGCACTGCGGGGACTCCCCGCCAGGGGCAGAGGACAGGGCACAGTGGAAGGTGGTCCAGGCCCTTGACGACGTGCCACCCCATTTATCAGACACACCGCCCTTCTCCCCCGAGGGGGGCTCACTGTCACCAACCCCGGCGAGAGCCAGCGCTGCCCCTTCCTTTAATGATGGGGGTTCCACGGGCAGCACCGAGGCAATGACCTGTGGTCCCAATTGGAGAGGGGCCTGGCAGCACAGAGGAAGGTTCTGGACTCAAAGAGGCCCAGGACCAAAATGCCTTCTAGCACAGCCTTCTAGCACAGCACTGTGACTGCCTGGGACAGGGCTGGCAGCCGAGGGCAGCCCGAGATGAGAGATGAGACCGGGAGATGCACACTCCCGTCCGCGCCGCCGTCACCTTACAGAACCACGCCCTCCGCGGAAGCACTGGGTTGATGGCCTCTCTCACTCTCACACAGCTGGTAGGCGTTTAACTGGCGCGACCTTCACCGAGAGCCATCTGGGAACGGCTTCCAAATGGAAAAGACACACACCCTCTGACACTGCCATTCCTCCCCCAGGAGTACAGCCTACGGACACACGGAAGTGTGCCACAGGCATGTTCAAGGGCGACACGGCAGCCTTGTTCGCAGTGGCTTAGAGACCAGAAACGATCCGCGTCTGCGGGGACCGGCTGCACGGGTTACGGTTTATATCTTTGCTGTGTAGCAGCAGGTGGTGCACGGCGTGAAAAAAAGGAGGTGCCGCTGTAGGTCTGGCCGCAGGAAAATACCAACAATTTACGCGGCACACATCGCAGCCTAAGATGTCTGGTAGGACCCCCCTGGCTGGAAATAAAGCCTATACACAAACCAGACATGCTGGAAGGGCTACCCAAAGACAGAGGCTTTTATTTTTATTTCAAGCCTGTCTGTGCTGTTTGCGTGTCTACCGTGTACAGATATTGGTTTTTTATTTTACAGTGACGTGTGGCAGAGGCATTTCAAGCTGACCAAACACCCACTCACTTGTCCACACCTCCCGGCAGCTGGCTGGTCCCTTGTAGTGATTGGTTCTGGCCAACGGACTGTGGGCGGAGTGAGGAATGTTCCTGAGCTGAGGCAGGGAGGGTCCCTGGGCAAACCCCCAACGCGGGCTTTCAAGACTAGGTGGGGTCACTGTGAGGTGGGGGAGGGCAGGTGGATCTGGCTGGACTCTACTGCGTGACGATGGCCTGTGCTGTTTCCAGCTACTCTGAGTCAGGGGTTAGTTACCGCGGCACAGCCTGGCCTAGACACGGCGACACAAGGCACATAAACAAGATGGCGCCTCTCCGGGACTGACACGCAGGTCTCCCCTGGGATGGAACCAGCCTCCGGGGGCCTGTGGACAGAGCTCTTTGGCCGGGCCCGAGGTGGGCTGCTTTTGTCCGCTGAGGAGTCTGGGGGGTGGCCCTGGAGAACAGAGGCCTTGGTCCCACACGGAGGAGGGGAGGCCAGTGCTAGAGACAGGACCACGGCAGCCACAGTGGACCACGAGGGGCCTTGCGAGGGAGGCGATGCCCGGCTGCTGTCCGCAGCTTACTGCTGCCACACTGGACGCCCACTCCCTTCCCCGGGGACGGGAGCCCTGGTCACCAGAAGGGTGGCCTGTCGCTGGGCCCTGGACACTCACCACAAACTGGCTGTTGACCTTCTCTAGGATCTGCTTCTCGTTGAGTGCCATGGACTCCCCTTTCCTCTTCTTGATCCTCTTCTTCTCCAAGCGCTTGCACGCGTACATCTTACCCGTGGCCCGAACCTGGCAGGCACAGACCTGGGGTGCAAGAAAGATCCGGAACTGGTGACGGCCCGCCTCGGGCTCTTCTGCGGCCAGGACGCTGGGCCTGCGGGGCTGGGAACTGAGGTGCCTGAGGGCGTTCCCAGTCACGGGGCCCAAGGATGCCCGGCCTTGGGCCCACTCCTGCCCCGGGCCCTGCCCCCAAGACGCAGCTCCAGTGCCCCTTACCCTCCCTTCTTCATCTTTCATGTGAATCTGGCCCGTGAGGGGGCAGAATCAACCATCTACGCAGATGTCTAGAGGACCACCAAGGCCTAAAGTACTGTCCTTCTCTCAGAGGCAAGTAGGTTTTCTCTGCCCCACGCTTCCAACGGCATGCGGCCATCACTAACTGGGGACCTCCGAGCACCAGCTGCTGGGAAGGGAGGCTTGCTTTGGCATCAGACCCCTGATGTCCCCGACTTTGTAACTCAGCAGAGTGGAAGCCAGCGGATTTGGGGTCTAGTCTTCTTGATTCCGCGACTCTTTGGTTGTGTGACCTTGGCCGGGTTACTAACCATTCTGACCCTCAGCTTTCCTCATCCCTAAAATGGGAATAACAAGGCTCGTCCCCCAGACTGGGCAGATCAGACAAAACACAACAGCATCTGTTAACAGCAGCATCAGGCCAAGATGCTTGGGCCCCTGATGCCGTCTCTCCTCCCTCCTCTGGCCCAGGGGCCCTGCGGGACAGTCTCGTTTCCCAGCTTGGCGGCACCTCGTGTCCCAGGCCCTTCGCCCCACCCCCCTCTCCACCAGGGGGCGCAGGACACTGTAGGCGCCTCCAGAAGGACAGAAACCGTGAAGAGTACGGGAACTTCCAAAGACGTGGATGCTCACTCACCTCCCCAAAGCCCCCTTTTCCTAGTACTCGGTACTGCCTGAAAGTGTTTTTGGTGACCGGCTGCCTGGAAAAAAGCAAGAATCCAACATTGGTCTCATGGGATCGAGATGCGGAAGCCACACGAAACCGACAGCAGCAGCATCACATGCTTTCTGAACCGAGCCAGGAATCATGGCTGCAGGTGGGACCCCCAAGGACCTGCTCAGCGGCTGCGTGTTCAGACCCTGCGCCACCCGCCCTCAGCCCCCTGCTGCTTGGGACACCTGCCAGTCCTCTCCTGCTTGGAGGGAAGGGCAGAGGACTGAAGATGTGTATTAAAGCTAAAGCTGCTTCACCACACTTTCCATGTGGTTCCCCTCTCTCCCCAGTGAAAATCAGGTGGGTAAGCTCAGAAAGAAGCTGTGTTCTCTGCAGGGAGAAGGGGGACAGGCCAGGAGCCACAGAGGCTCGGTGTCCCAGGGAGGACACCTGCACCTCCCCACACCTGCACATCTCGCCCGCCTGCCCACCTCTGTCCCCAGGGAGAAAGGCTGCTGGTCATCTTTTACCACCGGTCCCCAGCCTATCCCTTTATCACATTTTCTCCCGAGCTCCAGAGCACTAGACGGTCCTGTCTGCCCAAAGTGGGATTTATGAAGCAATCATCGCCTTGCGTCCCCTGACTCCACATTTTAATTAGCTGAGGCCATTTATAATGTCTAATCAGCCAGACCCTCTGATCATGAGGTCATGGTGGGCCTTCACGGAGTAAATAAACAGTCACCTAAAATTGTCTCCAAGAACCCCATGGTGCAGACAGCTTGGGCTTCTTCACCCCTGGCCTGTTTGGATAAAAACAACCAGCTTCCTTTCGCCCGCCACTCCAGCTTTTTCGAGGTGTAACTGACAAATGGCATCCAGCTTGACGTTTTGATGTGTGTACATATTGTGAACCGATTGCCACGATCAAGCTAACGAACATTCTGTCACCTCGCATCGTTACTGTTTTTCCTCTTCCTCTCTCGCTCTCTCACATTACGGTTTACCGTCTCAGCAAGTTTCAAGCATACGATCAGTACTGTTAGCTGGCATCACATCGCTGTACATCAGATCTCCAGCCTTTACTCATCTTGCATAACGAACTGAAACTTTACACCCCTTGACCTACATGTCTCCCTCATTTCCTCCACCCCTAGCCCCTGGCAACCACCATTCTACTCTGCCTCTAGGACTCTGACGTTATTTTAGATTCCACATGTAAGTGAGATCATGTGGCATTTGCCTGTGTCTGCCTTGTTTCACTTGGCATAACATCCTCCGGGTCCCCCCATGTTACCATAAACGGTAGGATTTCCTTCTCTTTTAAGGCTGAATAATACCAGTGGATGTATCTGCCACATTTTCCCTCCCGTACTCCTGGCAGCGTTATTCACAAGAACGAAGATATGGAAATAACCCGAGAGTCCTTGGGCCATGAACGGTTAAAGAACACTCCGCTTTTATGGGGCACCTGGGTGGCTCAGTCAGTTAAGCGTCGGATTTCGGCTCAGGTCATGATCTCACGGTCTGTGAGTTCGAGCCCCGTGTCTGGCTCTGTGCTGACAGCTCAGAGCCTGGAGACTGCTTCCAATTCTGTGTCTCCCTCCCTGTGTGCCCCTCCCCTGCTCATGCTCTATCTCTCAAAAATAAAATAAATGTTAAAAAAAAAACAAAAAAACACTCCACTTTTAGGATGCTGAACTTAGCTCTCGGATCTCCAGGACTATTTCTGAGCAACTGACCCCACCCCAGAGGCCGGACCAGGGCAGAGACCGGGGTGTGACTGAATTGGCCCAAATAATTGGGTCAGCCTGAGAAAGACCAATGAGCCTCTGCTCCCCCAGCAGCTCCTGAATGAACCTTCTGTGGAAACCTTTCTGGCTGCTGGGTCCCGAGGAGGATTTGGATTTCAGGTCCTCGGCACCACATTTCTCTTAGGTCCTGAAAGGCCAGGGCTCTGCCTGCAGCCCACGCGCCCTGGCCCACTCTCTCTTCTGTTCCTTTAGGAAGCGGGGTCCGACCCCACTGGGGGCACAGGGCCGCCCCTCCGCAGGGCTCCCCGCTGCCCCGTATCCTTCTGCACGCGAGCAAACGGGCTGCATCCGCCATGCGGCCCTGGGAAGCATTTCCATAGCCGCCCTCGAAACCACATGAAGGCGCCTGGGCCTAACAGTTTACGATACACGGAGAACAAGCAGTCGGTCGGCATTACCACAGAGCTCCTCTGCTAGGAAAAATGAGTGTAATACAATTTCCGAGGAATTCTTTGGTTAACCTTGAGAGGGGAAAAAAAATCCCTTTAATATTTCAACAGTGCAGCACGAACAGGCCATGATCTTGTTAGCAAAAAAAAAAAAAAAAAAAAAAGGGAGGAAGCGGGCTGCTGTCAGTCACCTGGGGGCACTTCTTGGCCAGTCCTGCCTCACCAGCTTCCACAACTTAACGCCCACAAAGGCGCCTAACTTCTTTGCAGCCAACACACGGATTCGAAAAGTCTGTTTCCCCATTTCAAGTGTTCCCTACATACCAGTAAGACGAGAGCCAGTGGCCACAGCTAAAGGATTCTACCGGAACACAGTGCTGGGTGGAATAAGGACTGGGTCAAGGGCTGGGCGGACACCCTGGGCTCAGGCTCCAGCCTTGCCAGGCCCCTGCTGTGGGACATCGATCAGCCTCTCTGTGACCTGTATCTTCAGTACAACGAGATACTGAAAGGGCGTCTTCGCAGGCTGCTGTAAGCTGAGCATCAGACATCCTTCGTCGAACTCCAAGAATACAGGACATGTCCTCTTTGGGGGGCGTTATGGCAATAGTCCCGGCTGCTAGAAGCACCTTGCACGTGCACTAATGTGATCCTCACGCCTGCCTCGGGAGGTAGGACTGTCTCCCTTCTGCAGGTGAGGATGCTGAGGCTCTGAGAGGGGACTGCGTTGCCTCTCAGAGGGTGGTGGTGGTGAGGCTGGGGTCCCAGGCGGGTCATGAGGGTGGTGGTGATGAGGCTGGGGTCCCAGGCGGGCTGCTGCAGAGCCCACATCCTGCCTCTCAGCCCCACCTTGGGAAGGTGGGCACAGATCGGGTCATGTGGCGCACAGCCCAGAGCTCTGGCGCGGGGCGAGGGGGCATGATGAACATGGCCCCACCAGACTGTCCTGTGATCCTCAGAAACGCAAGGGCCAGCTGTTCCTTCCCATATCAGACGCTTGAGGAGGACGGTCACAGCGATACTGATGACCTCAGTGGCAACCACAACAACAGTAGCCAGCAGTTGACTTCCTGGGGCCAGATGGCTGAGCTTTCTGGAGCACTTGCCCTATTTTAGGCGTGGACTCTGCTTATCTCATCTCATCCCCACCCAAGCCTACAAAGGCGGGCACTATTATTATCCCCATTTTACGGAAGAGGAGATTGAGGAGGGGAGGGGTGAGCAATGCTTCCTGAGGTCCCCTTGGAGAAGGTCGGGCCGGGACTCAGACCCAGGCTGTAGCTCCAGGTCCTCAGCAGGATGTGACCCCTCACTTTTCTGGTTCTCCGGGAGCCATGACGTGCATGTGTGAGGTGGCCAGTGGCGGTCAGCGGCCAACAGAGAAGACCGTCAATTCCCACCAGCGTGGGTGGAAAGAAATGCGCCCCCGGTGGTCCAGAACAGGGTGTTTTCCTCTGGGCTTCCTGAAGTGGGCAGGGAAGGGTCACGAATGGGGCTTCCAGGGCGTTCCTGTCCTGCAACTTCCTCAATGTCTGCAGGGCACTCGGCCAGCGAAGGTGGCAACGCGCAGAAGCCTACTGGCTCCTTGCTTCCTAACCAAAAGGTGCCCAGATGCCCGCGAGTGTCGGGCCTGCATAGGGAACCCTGGGCTGTGGATGGGGGTGCTCCCAGCCTCGTCCCCCAGCTGAGCCCCGCGCGGATATGACGCAGGCATAGCCCTTTTCTGCAAACCCTGGGACAGTGTGGTGGGCGGAGCCTGGTGCTGGGCCCCGCCCCCCTACACTGCGGGCCTGCGGCCTGCCTCTGCAGGCCACGCCCTCTCTGGGGCTCTCCCTCCCCATCAGTCACATGGAGGCCGAAGCTGCTAGGCCAGGTCATGGCCAAGCCTGTGAGAGCGCTTTGCAGCGAAAAGGCAGCAAGTAAAACATGAAAAGGTGCTTGGTCTTACCCATCATCAGAGATGAAAAGATAAGGAGAGCCCGATGCTCACACACCGGACAGGAAAGCCCCAGAACAGAGTTGATGGAGCCGAGAGGCACTGGGCACTGGCCTGGGGCTGGAACCGGGCAGCTCTCAGGACTGCAAGCTAGAGTCCCTCATGGTTTAAAAGCAGTGCTTTTTGACGCAGACATTCTTCTGCTAGGGATTTCTATGGAGGTACTTGCGAAAGCACATGAAGACATACGTACAAAGTGATTCACTATTTAGGGAAGATTGTACATAAAATGGAGAGCAACCTCCATGTCCATCAACAGGGGACTGAGCTAAATAAGGGATGTGTAATTCGTTCAAAACTATGGCAGCTCTTTCTTTGCTGGCAAAGGAGAATTCCCACAGACAGTAAACCAAAAAATAAGGATAAGTATGTATGCATGTATGAGGGTGTGAGTACGCGTGTACACTTTGATAAGCACAGAGCATTTCTAGAAGAATAACCAAGAACTTCAGCAAGGAGAGGAGGACGGCTAATTTTACTTGAACCAGGGACCCACGGAGGTAATGGATTTTTATGTGGGCGTTCAGGTGACAAGCCTGTACTCTCGCCCCTGCCACACACACACTGGCACACACTTGTAGATGAGGCGTACGGGAGGGCACTCACCTTTCCAACCACTTCCACTGGAGAAAGCGATCAAAATACATGCTGTCCAGATACTCATGGAACGGTTCGCCCTTCAGGTAGTCGTGGACGGACCTAGCTCAGAGGGAACCAACAAACATTTTATAATCCTGACCTTGAGCAGATGGGCAGAGCCATATATGTAGCAGGTTCACAAGCAGCCTCAGAGGCCCATCGTCCTGCCAAAGTGACAGGCTGAGCCTGCGAACACTTACTGGGTACCTGCCACGGCACTGCTCTAGGCCCGGGGTACAGCTGTGAGCATGAAGTTGGCATTGTGATGTGGGACACAACCCGGAAGTAACAAACATCTAATAAACAACTGCGAGGGATGTGCTCATTAGAGGGTTAAATGAGGTCCCTGGGGGTTCAGGTAGTGCTCTTGCTCTCTCTATCTCTCAAGAAGGGACTCTTTTTCTTTTAAGTTTATTTATTTTGAGAGAGAGAGAGAGAGAGCAGGGGAGAGGCAGAGAGAGAGTCCCAAGCAGACTCTGCACTCAGAGTGGAGCCCAACGCAGGGTTCGAACCCACGAACCGTGAGATCACGACCTAAGCTAAAATCAAGAGTCAGATGCTCAACCGACTGACTGAGCCACCCAGGTGCCCCAAGACGGGACTATCTGAGCTGTCATGAGGACAGAGGAATACTTAACGGGGTGCAGGGGTGTGTGTGGGGGGGTAGGGGCAGAGCAGGGATGCAGCCCCTGAGAGTCCGGGCTCTGGATCTGAGGCCACTGGGAGGTTTCCATCTCCGCAGCAGAATTTCCTGGTCACCTGCTGTGGGCCAAGCCCAGAGGGTCTGAAACTGGCTGCAGGCAGGGGCAGCCTTCTTCCGTTTAAAAAGTGGCAATGCCAGGGCGCCTGGGTGACTCAGCCTGTTGAGCGCCTGACTCTGGATTCCAGCTCAGGAATCGAGACCTGCACTGGGCTCCATGCTCAGCATGGAGATTCACTCTCTCCTCTACTGGTGTGTGCGGGCTGGGCTCTCTTTCTCTCTCACTCTCTCACTCAAATTAAAAAAAAAAAAAAAAAAAAAGAGTGGCAGTGCTGACCAGTGTAGCCCAGGCATTTGGGACCTGTGGATGGTTGGGGGTGGGGGGGCATATACGGTAGAAGCATGTTGGACCCTGTCCTGCCAAACATGAGAGCAGTGGCCCGTGTAGGGACCAGCTTGTCCACTCCCTCGGGGTCACAGTGACAGCCTAGGGACCTCACCTGCTGTCAGATCTGACCCTCAGCCAGCTCCAAGAGGGCAAACCAAGTTTGTTTCTGCTTATGGGTTGGGGGGGAGGTCTCTCCCTGGCACCCTACAGGGCTGGGCCCCAAGCTGGCCCTCCCGAAACCTCCATTCTCATCATGGTGCTCCTGGCTCCCCCCAGAGTGCACAGCGGCCCTGGTTTTCCCGCCCGGCTGTGAGCTCCCTGAAAGCCGGAACTGGGCTCTTGCTCACCATGATGTCCCCCGGCACCTGGCACAGTGCCAGGCACACAGCAGGCGCCCCGTCATCTGTGGCCCAAAGGCTGACCAAGGGCACACAGCAGGTGTCCAGACTCACCCAGAGGTGACGAGGCTCCAGAAGGTTCTAGTGCACATACCAGCTTGTGGGGAAGGGTACGTGTGTGGACACATGAACATGTGTGTGCCTAGTGGCTCACGCCTTCAGAGTACGTGTGTAAGGGACTCTGGGGACTTCACTGGTGCCTGGCCAGCAGCACGTGCACCGACTTGTCTGCTATTGCATCAGGATCGGCGTACGGCCCGCAGACAAGGCGATGGGGTGACTGCGAAGGCAGCCTGCGGCCCCCTTCCTGCGGCAGCACCACCCAGCCCTGGTTGGTGGCAGCAGTGGGGGCCGGGGGCTGGGGAAGGACTTCCAAACCACCCAGATGGGGTCAAGTTTTTGCACAGTCCTCTGTCTCAACAGCCTGGAGAGCCACTTGCTTTCAACACTCTTTGAGGCAGATGTTTTCTTTGGACTTGGCACTTTGGTATCTTTTCCCTTCATAAGAAGTATACAAACAGCTGGGTGGCTTGGCTGGGGCCCCTGGGCACGGAAGGCCTGCCCTGGTGCCCAGCGCTCCAGGTGGAGGGGAGAGGCAGCCTCTCTCTGGGGGAGGGGAGCTGTGCGGCTGCCCAGGGGAGGCGGAAGGGCCCGATGCCCGGTCTGGGGAGGGAGCAAGCACTTACTGTGCACAGGCAGAAAAGACTTCCTTGCAGGGCCTCTGTAGGAGCCTCTCCTCCGTCTGGGAGACCAGGTCTTGGCCAACTTGGGCTATGAAGACTGGGGACTGGAGGAAGAGAAGAGGGGGCGTCAGTGAGGGGCAGGAGAGGAGCGCCATCTGGCCCTTGGCCATGTGCAGCATGGTCACTTAGCTCCTCTGAGCCTGGCTGCCCTTGTCTGCAGAACACGGATGATGATTTCCCTGTGTCCCGGGCTTGTGGTCAGACCCTAACGAGATGTGGGAGAGCTCATGGTTATGGGCTGTGCAACGAGGCCCGGCTGGTCGGCAAGCCCCCTGTGAGCTTGCCAATGCCCTGCCCATGCTGGGCCTGTCTTCTCGGAGGGCAAGGTCAATACCCTAGCCTCCAGGGCCTGGGTGACAGGGTCCGGAATGGGCAGAAGGGCCAGCAATAAACATCATTGCTGTCGTTTCCTTCTCCTTCCAGGTGAAGCTGTGGCCTGAGTGTTTTGAGCTTGAAAGAACAGTTCTGAGAGTTTCTGCGTCCTGCCCAGGAGCAGCTTTGGGAAGGTGCCGGGACCACCAGAAGGCAGTTTCGCCTTCCCTTGTCCCCTGACCATTCCATCACCGCCGTCAGCTGTTCATACACCAGCTGGGCCACAAGCTGGGTTGTTAATAAAAGACAGGTTTTTAATATTTGAGAAAACTACCAGGAGGGGCTCAGACAGAGGGGATGTAAATATATCTTTCTCCCCAAAGATGCTGAAATTGGAAAGATTTGCTTTCTCCTTTCAGCTACTGAAATGTGACTATGGAGCTGCTTTACCTGCTAAGCCCACTGGGCAGTGTCTGTAGGTGGGGTGGGGGGGTCCATCCAGGGGGCGCCGGCAGTGGGTCTCAATGAATGAAATCAGTAGCTCATATTCTATTCGTCAAGGCTCTGAAAGCCCACATTCCTGAGTTCCTCCCTTCTTTCTTCTCTCCTAGGTCCTGCCCTCTCTGGAGCAGGGCCCCTGGGTGGGGGAGCCTTCGATGTTGTGGGGCGGCCGCGGTGACGGTAAATGCTGTGGGCTCACCCAGTGACGCCACACAGCAGGCCATCGCCAGTCCTGGGTGGCTGCGGCTCCCTCCCACCTTCTCTCCCACTCAGCCCTGTCCCTCCCCAACTGAAAACCTTGATAAATGAAACTGCAGAAAAGAAGCCTGTAGAGCACCAGCTTCTGACGCTCGTTTTGCAAAAAAGATGCTCGATGTTGCAGAAGGAGCCTGAGATGGAGAAATGGGAGCCCCGAGCACTGGTCCACCCTCTCCCATTGGCCATTCTGTGCCTCTCTTTCCTCCTCTGTTACAGGAAAGGGCTGCTGCAGAGATACTCTGCAGGTCCTTCAAGATTTGGGAATTGACGGTTGCGGTGGGGGGGCAGGTTGCTTCTAAGACTTAGGGAGCCTTCTGGGGAATTCTGGCAGCTGAATCTCTTGGGAATCGGTTAACTCTGGGCTATTTCAGAGCAATTGGATCCTAAAACAAACCCAGAGGCCACAGGCAAATTTGCTTCAAGAGACCTGATGGCTGGGCAGCCTTGGTTTGAAGGGCCCGGTGCCCTTTGCAGGACTGGTGCCCACACTGCCTACGTGAAGGAGCGACATGAAACAGTGTGCTGTGCCGGGATGTGACTTGAATCTGGAAGAAGTCAGCCAAGACCAGACAGAGATGCTGGGTGGGATGGTCGTGGGGGGAACCACCACTTCCTGGACCTCAGAAGAGGCTCCCGAGTTGCCCACCTGTATGCACTCGGCTCTACCCCTGTCTTGTCACCCGACTCGGCCCAGGGAGGATCCACCCTCACCCACAGTGGCCGAAGCTGGTGTCAGGCACATCGTGAAGGTGTTCAAAGGTGCAGCCTGTGTAGCCCCTGGCTTTAGAGCACTCTTTCTCCAGTAAAGACAGAAAATACAGAAATCAGGCAATACCCTAACAGGGGTGTTCTCTCGCTTCTCTGGGCATCTGTGGTGATGTATAAAAGGGGCGGATGGAAACCCAATAGCTCTCAAACTTTTTTTTTTTTTTAAACTAGCAAACGTCTTTTTTCCTCTTCCGCATGAAATGTATCTATGGACCCAGTATTTAAAACCAGTGTTAATAACTTAATGGGTAGCCCTGGTTTGCCTCTCCGGTCAGGCACTGTGAGAAATTACCTTCCATGCATTATTTCATCTAATCTCCGTTATGACTCTGTGAGGTAAATGCTATTGTAATGCTCATCTCACAGCTGAGCAAACTGAGGTTCAGAAAGGTTAAGTCATTTGCCCAAGGTCACCCAGCCAATAAGTGGCAGACAGGGGATCTGAACACAGATTGGGTGGGTGAGTCTAGAGTGAGTCTGGTTGAAGGTGGTGGGATGTCTGGGCCCCCTATGCTTCTCCCACTCACTCCTTGTCTCCTAGGGGCCCCTTAGCCCTCAGGATGAGCAGGACACCGTGCAGCCCTGCAGCAGAGGTAGGAAGGACTGAAATGGAAGATGACACAGCTCAGGGCAATGAGGCCCCTGGGCTCAGAGAAGGAGATCATTAAGGGGCGGAGTCATCTAGGAAAGGCTTCATGGAAGACAGGGTCAGAGGCAAAGCAAAGTTGGGGCTCAGACCTCCCACTCCTCATGGGCCTTTCCGCCTGCCCGGAGGACCACACTCTGCTTCCTTCCTCGGCAGAGGGGAGGGGCCGTGCAGGGTCTAGGGGTGGCCCAGCTGTGTGCATGAAGTCACACCACTCTCTCTCTAGGGGCGCTGCCCAGGGCCAAAGCCCTAATAGGAGTTAATGAGTAGGTTTAACGACCATGGGTTTAAATTCAGCCTCTGGCTCGACATAAAGAGATTAAGTGGTTCCAACCAAACCCCCTTTCAAGTAACTCCAGAGAGTAAGACCTCTGCCCGGAAGGGAATCAGGAGCTGTTGGCCAGTTTAAGCTGGGAGTTGAAACCCACACCTGCCAGGAGGGTGACACCCAGGGGACATTTCAGTGGGACATCTGCAATCTGCATCAATGGAATCGGAGGGTATCAGTCCTTCCCCTCCAGTTCAGAGAAGCCAGTTTCCAAGGGAGACGCATTAGGAAGGCTCTCCCCAGCCGCACACAAGGTCTAACGCACACAAGATAAAGCGCCCCCAGGCGCTCCGAGCAACCACAGCCCACTGCAATCCACTCCCTGTGGCCTGAAGACAGAATTCTGCAGTTTCAGATCTCATTCCAGGAAGCGAATCCCTTCTGGTCCCAGGAGGCCTTCGAGGAGGGCCGGGGAAGGGAGGGGTGAATCCTCCAGGCCAGGTGGGCTCTGTACGGGAATGTCACCCTAACCTGAAAAGGCTCAGGAAGGCCACAGGGACTACGGCTAGCACCGTGGCTCTTTCTAGCAGGAACTGTCCCTCTGGGATGAAGCGGAGGGTCAGGGCCGGCAGAGGGTGGGGGCCATCCTCCTCCATGTCAAAGGTGTCCCCCTAATTTCTAATCAAACAGAAAAGACCCTACAGTCCTTAGATATTTGCAGGGCTGAAAGCGGCCAGGAGAGCAGGTTTTGATGGAGGCCTCTGCTAAAAGGTCTCCTGGGGCCAGTAGTACTTTTAAGTGACACTTTATTTCTGTGGTCACCAGATGGTCTCCTCAAGTAGCTCCAGCCAGCGAGCCTTGATTTTCAACACAGCAGTGTGAATCTAGGCACCAAGTTTCTTTTGAAAGGTGTGGAATTAGCTCTTGGTGGCACACCTTCCGAGGACAGGAGGAAGGAATTAGGGACAGGGTTTCTCTGCTGGAGGCCTGTCATGAACGCCTGGCTTCCTGATGGTCTTGGGCACTGAAGCTAACCAGCTGGCCAACTGCCATGTGATCGTGTCCACTCTGATGACAGTCAGGATGACCCCCAGCTGCTCTAAGGAGTGCTCTGTGGCCAACTCCTGGGACAGCTTAAGACAGCAAGACATGCCTTGGGGACATGGCTACGCTTGCCAGGAGCTGCCCCCCGCCCCCCCCAGGCCTGGCCAGACTGCCAAGAAAGAACTCGGCTTCTTTGAGGAGCTGTAAGCTGCATGGAGCACCTGTCCTGCCCCTGAAATCACAACTAGAGCAAGAGAAGCTGCATCGTGCTCCCCTCTTTGGCCAAGGCTCCTCCCCACTGTTTTCCCCCAAAGCTGTTGGAGAGCAGAGGGGGGGGCATTAAAGCTCGGGTGTGCTTGTCCACTCTCGGGACCTCTGTGCCTCTAGGTAGAAGCCCCCCACCCCCAGAGGAAGAACCTGCCTCACCTACTCCTCTGGAGTGAGAAACTGACCTGGAATCCATCTCCCGGACCGTGGGACTGGGGCCCTCACTCAGCTAGAGACAGGCTGCCAGCATTGCAGGGGGCAGGGCACACTCGGCAGGGGTGTGTCAGGCGGTGACTCCCCCTCCGAATCCCTCAGAATATCTACTCCTCCTTACGCCTTGCCCTGGTGGCCCAGACTCACTCTCTGCCGTTCCTGATGCTTCTGCTCTGCGTTCTGGGGATCTGGGCCGCTCCTGCTGTACCGGCACAGAGCCCTATGTGGGGCTTGAACCCGCGAACCGTGAGATCATGACCTGAGCCGAAGTTGTACGCCCAACCTAGGGAGCCACCCAGGCGTCCCACGCCTCGGGATTTCTAGAGAAGGTTGTGAGGGGGAGAATCGAAGGGGTGGGGGTGGGGGGTATCCGACTGGCTGGAAGAGCTCAGGACTTGGCCTGAAGCTGCATTTGTAGAACCGCCCCCCTTCCCCCTGCCCCCTGCACTTGGTTTGGGTGACTTCGGCTAACAAAATACCTGGGAGAAGGCCACAACTGCCCCGGGGCCACTGGGTGCTGCAATTGCTCAGGGGTCCACCCCTCCCAGGTCATAAGTGCAGCTTCACATGGGCCTTCTGGGCGTCACCGAAGGCAGGACAATCCGGGCACTCAGGGACTGAAGCTAGAGGGGGACGGATGGTGGTGGGGAAGGCAGGGGCCCGGCCTCGGCAGGAAGCCACCCCACGGTGCTTTACTCAGTACTCCACACAGGAAGCAGACGCTGGTCACCCACCACACCCAAGGTTCTGCCTCTTAGGGTGCGGTA